TTTTCATCTGTCACGTTTGCAAAAACAACTCGCCGCCATTTTGAAAAATCCCCTTAGGTGATTGTCGCGTAATATTCCAAGGTCACTCGACCAATCAGAGGCCAGAATTTTCAATATTAACCTTTGTAATTATAAATATGTACCTTTTTTATTTGAAGGTGGACAGTGGCAGGAGTCATATTCGGCATCTGTATTATCCATCACGACCTTTCTTCTAAAAGTTATAATTGCTACTGTTTATAATTTGGAAAGCTAAGCAACACTACGAAATTTTAATTTAACATTTTGAGTTATCTTGCATACTTTCGGGCGTCTGAATCAGAGTCATCGGCAGATTCATCAGACAAACAAGTCAATTAGCCTTGAAAGTTTAAATCCAATTATATATATATCACAAGGAAAATTCATTTTATACTTCCGAAAGACAATCGTGTGTTTACCGCGTTGAGGGAAACGACAATGTTGGAGTGACGATGTTCGGTTGTTCGAGCTGCGCAAGAAAGATTAAATTTTTAGAATATAAGTAAATGTTTTTGGAGGTAGCTACACGACTTATTAGTACCTATGCAAACAAATTGATATTGTCAATAACACCATTCAAAATTGCAGGTTACAATTAGCACAGTTAGATAGAAATCTACTGAATAAGCAATCAAATATATACCTATTTTTAGAAATTGGGAAATCGTTTATCAGGTTTTAAAACTTTTCATGAGAAGAAAGGTCAATATTCTAAACAAAACAAAATAATAATTTTGTATTCTACACTTTTCTACAATATCATACACTGCAGATATAAATCACAAATTTTGACGGAATATCTTCAATTATGTCGTTGCAGTTGGTACTCCTAATCGGAACCTGTTTTTTATGAGTATTAATCCTTTCTTCACTCTTCTCGCCAGAAAAGTATCAAATAAGTTATCATCAGATTCATCAGACAACGAAATCAAAATAATCTAGATCAATTTTATATAAGTAAGATACAATTTTATAACTAAATAATTTATACCACAGATGAGCTAATCACAAATTTTGAGTTTGCGTTGAGGGAAACGAAAGTGGTGTTTGTTGTTTTTCAAAATGTGCCGTTGGAGATGGTATGCACACTTCACTCGGCCGTTTAAACTGCGTAGGAAGGACATTTTTTTAAATTCGTTAAAAAATTTACGCACGAGCTTAGGCTTTCATATAAACATAGTTTTATGTATATCATATATTATTGCATATAATAATATACCTATTTTTGGAAATTAGGAAATCTTTTCTCAGGTTTTGAAACTGATTGTCGTGAGAAGAACAATTAACATTCTAAGCAAAAGCATATTTTAATATCGTGTTCACTCGATTCTGACATCAATTTAACTCTTTTGTCAAACTACAGTTACTACTTACCATATTTGACGGAATATCTTCATCACATCGTTGCTGTTAGTACTCGCAATCAGGGCCTGTTTCCTATATTATTATTAATATTTATTATTTTACATGCAAGCGTCATTTCCGGTAAATAGAGCTAGTGATTGGCTGAGAAGAATTTTCACGGTCCATTACTTTCCCGTAATGGACCGGCACTTCCCGAAAAACCAGCGTTACCGGCGATCCATTTACGAGATGAAAAACAGACAGATAAATTCGAATGAAAAAGGCCCAAATGAATATCGAAAGAAATTTTAATTGCTTTTGATTGTATAAATTAATAAGACGTCTCTGGACTGTTTTGGTAAACTAAATAATTCAATATTTATTGTTTTTATCAAATGCGTACCAGGCTACTAATACGCATTTCTTGTTTGCCATATGCCATATAATAAACTTTTTATTAACCTCGCTTGCTCGGTCTTTACCGAGAAATATCGGACTCGATCTTTTTGTACAAACCTCGCTCTTTGAGCTCGGTCTGTTCAAAAAGACCTCAGTCGGATATTTCGCAGTAAAGACCTCGCTCTTGGTTAATAAGAAGTTATTAGTATTCTTTTTCTCTGATTCGTCCAATAAATAATTTAATGAGTTGAATGAGAAATTTCAAAGTCATCATAGTGAATTGATAAGATAAATGAGAGAAAAATACCTTGATTTTTCTGTCTTCATAACAGAGAGGGATTGTGGCCATTCTGTACGCCAGCGCTTCTAGCCTTTTCCACAGCCACGAGCAGGCGGATGTTGACGCCACTTCTGGTGCCCATGGAATATTTTCACCATGCCTGTTTCCATTCCACCACAATCTTCTGGAACAGCGTGTGTATCCAAAATAAATACGCTATCCAAAATAAAACCAAGAAGTAGAGTGTATGGTTCACATGTATATAGCGCGACGAGTGTTCTCCTGGATTTTTCATGAGTTCTTCAATCTTTTTGGCCAGCTTTGCCTTGCCTTCATCTGAAAACACCGAACGCGTATGGTAACTCTTCGGTAAATGTATAGTCGATGAAAGCAATTTAGCGTTTTTCAATAAGTGTATGTTCCATAACATCATAGGTCAATGAGATCTGGCGGATATTATTTATATCTTCAGGAAGAGTTAAGATAACACTTTCAGATATCTCAGCAACATCTTTCCATAAATTTCGAAGCGGTAACATTTGCCGTAAATGCTATCAGCAATTTTTAAGCAAAGAAACGTGCAACTATTAGTGGCATCGCCTGATGTTACATACGAGTTTAGCTGATTGATTTCTTCTTGGTCAAGCACAAGACCTGCTTGTATTTGGTTTGCTGCAAGCTTGTTACATTGTTCAAAAAATGAGGCTTGGCTAACCTTAAGATGTATTTCACCGTCTGAGCCTGAGGCATCTTCAGAACTTCTTTTAGCATTTAATGGTGACTTTCGTAAATGTAACCTTTGAACAATGTCCTCGATATTGGGCCTATCCGTTTGCTCAAAAACAGTACACGACTTATAAATTTCGAGCAATTCTTTCCATTCTTCGCTTTGCTTCCTGCTATACTTCTCTTGTGGTATCGGTTTTGAACGACACTCCATCATCTTTTCTAAACACACAACAGCGCTCTTGATATTCCCTTCCATTTGGATGTTTAACTCGTTAATGATGTTTCAAACCTGGGTTAATGATACAAAACACGACCATTCCAAACGACCACAAGTCGGCTTTTTGCAAAAACGGTAGTGAGGCTTTTCTGACAGACGAGTTTTTGACTAAGATTTCCGGTGCCATAAAAACTGGTGTGCCTCTACTGATCCTATTTGTTTTGCTGGTTATGATGGTATTGGTTTGAACTTCTCGTGATCGACTCTCACCAAAGTCGGTTAACTTGCACACTAGAGGTGATGTTAAACTTTCTCCTTCGATATCATTTTGGTCTGTCATGCCACTGTAATGTTGGTTCGAGACAAGAACATTTGCCGGCTTTAAATCTCGGTGGGCAAGTCCTTTGACGTGAAGGTATTGGACTCCAAGTGCCACATCTTCCACAGCCCGATTAAACACTTTTTCCGAAACGTGTTTACAGTCGGATTTGTCAAAATGACACAGTAGTTCCGCAAGAGAACTCACCTGCAGGTCTATCCCAAAAGGCTTGAAATCGAACTGGACAAACTCTAGAAGTAATGCGTAATTATCCTTATAGATACCTTTAAATCCTACGATGTTTGGATGTCGTAAACTGTTTAAAAGTTTTGCCTCTTTCAGTAAGATTTTTGCGTCTATTTGATCACTTCCTAAAAACTTTTTCACAGCGACCTTTTCTCTACTTTGTGGTAATTCCGCTGTAAAAACGGAGGAAAACCCTCCGCGTCCAATCTCATCTTTGTTCAAAAGCGCTCGAAATGAAAAGCTCGGGAAGTTCACGTCTTCAAATGCTGCAGAAGTGCTAACATTTTCCACAGCCTGAGCTCTTGGTGTAAAGCCACCAAAAAGGGACATCCTGACGACTAGCGTGTTTCCATAACGTACAAAATAATACAATTGAATGAGCAAAAAATAAAAGTATTTAGTTTCATTTTCGAAATGCAGTCTTCCACATTTAAAATTTGTTATTTCATTTTCAAAAAATTTCAAACATTTTCAAAAATATACAGGCATAAAAAATATCCTGTGTCGGGCGAAAATTGTGGCAAAAATAGCCAAATATTAAAGACCAAATTCCCCAAGTGTCGGTGATTCGGTCAAATATAGAAATCGGAAACAGTAATCCCTTTGCTCCTGCTTCTTTATGTAGCGGAAATTTGTTTTGCGCATTTGCGGGAAGTTTAGGACTTTTCTGTTATTTGTGGTGTCAGGTTTTTAGAAAAATAAAAAGATATCATGTTTAGATGTTCAATGCGGTGTTGATTTTATAGATAAATATCCAGCGAAAACATCGTACAAATATGTAAAATTTAATATCTTTTACAGCGAACATAACAAGAACGTTTTATATACGTAACATGCGTTTGCTATATGTGCGTCCATCATCGTTAACATATACTTTATATAATCATGCAATAATATTGAATGTCTATATTCAACACTCCCACTGACTCAGCATTTACTAATTACTACACTTGTACAAGTCCGAGTCTTGCTCGAAGACATTCAAAACTGTTCTCGTGTTAAAGGCTTCGTGAAGATATCAGCAACCATTTCTTGAGTAGGACAATACTTAAGTTCGATTGTTTTATCTTGTACTTTCTCTCGTACAAAGTGGAATTTAATGTCAATATGTTTGGTGCGCTTGTGCAGAACAGGGTTTCTTGACATTGCGATTGTCCCTTGATTATCTTCGTGAAGGATTGTTGGACTTGAACAATCTAGTTGCAGATCTTTGCTCAGTTGTCGTAACCATACACTTTCTTGTGTTGCCAGGCATAAGGCGATATATTCGGCCTCAGCAGTTGAAAGTGCAACGGTGGGTTGTTTCTGGCTTGCCCAACTAATGGCACCGTTGGACATTAGAAACACATTTCCTGAAGTTGATCTTCAATCTTCTGAGTCTGCGGCCCAGTCGGCATCGGAATACCCTTCCATGTTTTTGTCACTCGTTTCGTATTGCAGCTGGAATCTAATTGTTCCTTGCAGGTATCGAAATACTCGCTTAACAGCGGTAAGGTGCGCTTCGTTTGGAGACGAGTTAAACTTTGCCAGAGTACCAACTGCGTGAGCGATGTCTGGTCGTGTTGCAATAGCCGCGTAAATTAAGCTTCCCACCATCGATTGATAAATAACCGGATCTACAGATTTGCTGATACCATCATCTTTGACCAACTTCACGTTCACGTCCATCGGAGTTGATACAGGTTTACAATCTTGTAAGTTGTACTTGTTTAATATCTTATGGATATACTGTCCTTGGCTTATTTGCAGAGCACCGTCCAGTGATTTGATGTTTACTCCAAGACAGTAATGTAGTTTGCCCATATCTTTCATCTTGAAACTGGCAGCGAGACACGCCTTTAAGTCGATCATTTCTTGCTCGCTTTCGGTTAGAAGTATTAAGTCATCAACGTGCACAGCAACTACGGTCAGTTTACCATCGACTTTGCGAATAAACACACATGGATCGGCTGTGCTTTGCTCAAATCCCTGGGATAGCATAAATTCATTGAATGACTTATTCCAGCATCGTGGACTCTGTTTAAGTCCATAAAGAGATTTCTTAAGATGGCATACCAGGTGTTCTTTTTTTTGGACAACATAACCTTCAGGCTGCTCCATATAAATATCTTCTTCAAGTGTCCCGTTCAGAAAAGCCGTGACAACATCCATTTGATGGACAAACATATTTCTAGAGACAGCAAAGGCCAAAAGAGTTCGGATAGATGTAAACCGAACCACAGGTGAAAATGTTTCATCAAATTCAATCCCGGACTTCTGAAGAAAACCTTTCGCTACGTCCTTTGAACCGTTCAATCTTCCCATTTTCATCATGTTTGACTTTAAATACCCATCTACAGGTAATTGCTTTTCTTCCTGGTGGCAGTTCTACAAGTTCCCAGGTCTCATTTTCCATTAGGGATTTGTATTCAGAATCAGCAGCTGTCTTCCAGTGTACACCGTAGTCACTTTCGAGTGCTTTTTTCAATGTTGTCGGTTCTTCAACTTCTGTTACATATAGGGCTGTATGCTTCGTTCTTGCAATACTAGCATATTCATCGTGATAATAAACAGGCGGTTTTCTCTCTCTTGTTGAACACCTGATGTCAGTTGGTTTCCTTTTTGATTCTTCCTCTGAGCACACATCATTCTGATTTTCGATATCCAGTTGAACTTCAATCGTAAGTCCAAAATCAGATTCGTTAAAGGTGACATCTCGACGGATGAAGATTTTACGTTTGTCTTCATCATACAATCGATATCCTTTTTGTGTCAGACTATAGCCAACAAATCGCATCTTTACAGCTTTCTGGTCGAGTTTTTGACGTGAGGAATCAGGTACATGGGCGTAGGCAGTGCAGCCAAAAACACGAAGGTTTGAAACATCTGTTTTTTTACTGTACCATCGTTCATATGGGGTGACTCCGGTTGCAGTTGTGATAACACGGTTTCTTATGTATGCTGCTGAACAAACAGCTTCAGCCCAGAAACCCTTGGATACTCCCGCGTGTAGGATCATTGATAATGCAGCTTCCTGGAGGGTCCTGTTCATACGCTCGGCGATGCGGTTTTGCTGTGGTGAGTAGGGTACAGTTGTCTCGTGATGGATGCCCTTTTCTTTGAGGATATTTTGGAATTCAGTCGACATATATTCACCTCCGTTATCTGTCCGCAAAGTTTTAATTTTGCAGTCCGCTTGATTTGTAACAACTGCTTCCCATTCTTTGAACTTATCTAGGACTTCTGATTTGTGTGCAATGGGATAAACGGTTACACACCTCGAATAGTCATCAATGAACGTCACGAAATACCCAGCACCACCAAAATTTTCAATCTTCATAGGTCCAACAACATCACTATGGACAAGCTCCAATCGTTTCTTTGATTATACTTCTCCCACTGGTTTGAAGGGTGCTCGATGAGATTTACCTTCGGCACAGGCTTCGCAAAAGTCCAGTTTCCCAGATCCCAGCATGTCAGTGCCTGTCACAATCTGTTTTGAAACCATCAATTTCATCTGTCCTGCATTTAAGTGAGCCATCCTTTGATGCCACAGCTTAAATTTATTAGTTGATCCTTCTGCAACTGACGCCTGTTCTTCTTTTCTTTCTATTCTGCAATCCAAACGATACATGTTGCCAACAAGACGTCCTCTTGCTACGACTTTTCCTTGAGGATCTTTTATCCAACAGAGAGTATGACCAAATTGCACCACTTTTCCTATCATCGCTGCTGCACGAGCACTAAAGAGATTTGCAGCTAATTTGGGAACATACAGGACTTTGGTCATCGTTGATTTTCGTCCATCTTTCTTTTTAGGGCCAAGAAGCATGGTAATGGGTATATCGCCAGTGCCAAGAGCGTGAACAGATCGGCCATCTCCAAGAACAACTGGCTCTGGCTCTGAAAATTCCTGATAGTTCACCAGTAGACTATAATTTGACGTCATGTGCTGAGACGCACCAGAATCGATAATCCAGCAATCATAATCTTTTGCAACATTCAATCCAACAGCAAAAACATTGGCACCACTTCCATCATCCTTACCACTGTCCCCATCAGCAGGAGAAGCATTATGCTTTGATTTATCAAATTTCCCTTGATTTTCATTAGGTCTATGCTGTTTCTTCCTCCTGTTCTGAGCGCAATTTCGAATAAGGTGACCTTCCTCGCCACATCCATAACACTTGACAGGCTTTCGATCAGACTTGTTGTGTTGTAGCGCAGATTGGCCATCACTACTCCACTACCACTAGCATGGCTTTTGCTTTGCTTGCGTTTTTCTGCTTCATTTAACAATGCTGCATGCAGTTGACTCAGGTTTAATTCATCTCCTTTTGCAGTCAGTGCCGTAACCAAAGTGTTATATGAACCTGGCAGACTTAAAAGTAGAGCGACTATGTGTTCATTCTCCGGTATTGTAGCTTTGATAGCAGCTAGTTGATCAGTGATCACTTTCATTTTTCGCAAGTGTTCATCAAGATGGTCTGATTCTTTCATCTTTAAGGAGAAAAATTGTTGCTTTAGATACAGCTTGTTCGCAATCGTATCTCTTTCAAATCGATTTTTCAACGTGTCCCATATTTCTTTTGGAGTGTGGCATTCGGTTATAAGGTAAATAAGATCGGATTTAATAGACGTGACTATGAGAGCTTTTGTCTTCTTTTGAGCCTTTTCAAACGACGCTTCTGCCCCGGAACTGCTTTCCGATGTACTTGGGCGAATCGACGTTCCATCAACAGGACCGTACAGTTCCTTAGCTTCCAGAATTGCGGTCATCTGATACTTCCATATTTGCCAATTTCTCGCACCTTCAAGTTTATCGATCGATAATTTGTCTTCCTGGGCCATTTTCGTAAAATATACAGGTCAATTTAACAAATAGATTACAATGAACCGTTGTCTGTTCAGTTATAGATACACGGTATGACGTCATATGTGATAAGAACAAAAAAAGTGGCCACGAGCCGCCGGGGCGAGTGGTCACTCTTTTGTTCTTATCACATATGGCGTCATACCGTGTATCTATAACTGAACAGACAACGGTTCATTGTAATCTATTTGTTTTATATAATAAAACTGAAAAAAATCCAAAATTAATTGAATTATTTGTTTGCAATTTAAAAACAAGAAAATTGCTGTGACGTCATTCCGTGCGTCTGTCCTCTTATAGATCATGGCTCTCGGCCAATGAAATTGCTTGAATTCTTTACGTTATTATATAAAACGCAATAGACAGTTACCTCACAGTTTGGCGACGTCTGGGCCCATAACCTGTTCATTTTATAGATAAATATCCAGCGAAAACATTGTACAAAAATGTAAATTTAATATCCTTTTACAGCGAACAT